CAGCCGGGCAGGGACGGCGGCGCTGCGCTGTTTGCGCAGGGCGGCGCGGCGCTGCGCTGTTTGCGTAGGGCGGGCGCCGCGGCGCTGCCCTCCCGCCTGCGCTGCCGGCGCCCCACGCGCGCGGGCGGCCCGGCGGGCGGGAAGGGGAAGGCGGCGGGGGGGGAGGGAGGAATATGGAGCCGCATCCCGGCGCTTTCACCCGCTCCCCTCACTGTGGTGGCCTCGCCGCGGCCGCAGAGCCTCCCCTCGCCACCTTCCCTGCTGCCAGAGGCCGGGAAAGAAACTTCCATGAAAGTTACCACAGGCGGCAGGACCGTGCCCGGCCGGCCCTGCGCCCGCCAATATGGCGGCACCTTCTTCCCCCGCCGCCGCCTCGGCCGCCTCCTGGGGCGCTGCGCCCGCCGCGCCCGCTCCCCGCCCCAGACCTGTTGGAAGGGGCCGCCGTGGTGCTGCGGGGCCGCAGTCCTGTCCCGCACAGCCCGGGGGCGTGTGTGAGGAGAGGGGGGAACAAAAAACCCTTCGGGCAGGGAGAGAATGAAATCTGTTTCCTGCGAGGTGATTTTATTTGCGTGTCTAAGCGCTAGCAAATCCTGTTTTAAAAGTGCGAGACATGAAATGTGCTTCCCCGGAGCAGCCCTGGCCTCCGGGGCTGCCGACCCGGCCCAGGGCTGGGTGGGAGCCGGCGCGTGGGGCGCCCCGGCCTGCTCGTGTGGGGCCTGAACTAACGTCGTTGAGAAACATAAAAATGAGGTGATTTAGGGTGTAGTTGGTGCTGCGACGGGGCAAGGGCTGGGCAGGGATTTTTCAGSATTGTGGTTTTGGCTGTTGATTGTCAGGTCAGTTGGACTGCRCCTCTCTATAAGCATCCAGGATATTTTTGTGGTTGGGACTTGGGTTTTAGATTGGCTTAGGGTGACATCTCAGGCTCGGATCTCTGCTCCGGAGAGGGAAAAATACTTCTTGGATCCAGCTTAACTAATAGGTGCAATTTCCATCAGGGTTTGTGTGTATATTATAGGTGAGAAAAGCGTGCGGCATTTATTAATGTCACGTTTTGAAGAAATTTGCAAGCAGGACTTGGAGCAGGAGCTGCTGCTYAGAGACCAGCCTCATCCCTGGCAAAAGTCAGGCTGAGCTCTTCCTAAAAACCCGCAGCAAAGGAGGGCCCGAATCTTCTTAGAGAGAAAGCACGCATGTTTTGGCACTTAACTGCCCTCAGAATGAGGAAGTTGTTCTATAAACTGCAATATTTGGGTGTGAATTATATAAATTTTCTTTGCCTGACATCCACCAGATGTGGAAACAGTTAATTGCCATCAATTTACAATAACATWTTACATATTTTAATATTTCATATATTAGTATTGTGGCACTCCTGTAAACTTCTTTTTATTTTTTTAATAGACTAAACATTATGGAAAACTCCTTATAGGTGGTATTTTCCAAATCTTTTGTCCTTCTTCGTCCACACTGCACTCTTCAACTTTTCCTTACCTCTATATGCAGTAATCAGTAATTAGTTATTAGGTAATTAGTTAACCTGTCTTAGTGTGGAATTTGCCTACTTTGCAATAACTTCAGTGTTGATACAGATTCTTTTTTTTTTCTGATAATCCCCAGATCCATTTCAGCAGTGCTGCTGTCTGAACAAGCTATTGCTCCTCTTCAGAAATTCACAGTGACTTGACGCACTAYTTACCAAATCACCTGGTTTTTCAAAGGTTTGTATGTTGGTAATTTTGTTATCTGCCTGAACCTTGAATTTAAGCTGAGTGATTCTCCATTCACGAGGCCACCTTTCCCCTCTTTTCACTCCACCTTTATATTTGCAGCTAGTTCTACTTAATCAAGATTTTTTTTCAARTGTTTCCAGTAGCTTTCACTACTTTCTCAACTTTAAGATGTCTACTAGAAGTTGTCTAAAATATATTTCAATAGTTCAAGCCCCAGCTGAATGCCCGAGTTAAAAAGTTTGTACTGGAAATTTAGCTCAGATATAGAAGTCACTACCAATTTTTACATTATATTTGGTTTACTTTTTTTTTTTTTTTTTACATTTAGATTTTTCAGACATGTTTCGACTCTTCTAAAAATGTTCATTAAACCACAAACTGACCTTAATAATCAGTGTTTAGAAGATTACTTCTCCCTAAATAGATAGGATAAACCACTGCAAGATAGTGTTGTGGCCAAAGTATAAATGGCTGCTATTAAGCAGACTTAGAGAAAATTACAGACCCCGTTACAGCTCATGGATATTTAGAACTCCCTTCTGACTGTTTGGAGCTGCTTTTAAAGACACAAATATGATGTGACGTTATGTGAGATCAAAACCAAAGAGCTGGTAAGGGAAGCACTCCTGTGCATGAAGAACCTTTAGGCCTTGCTGCTTCCYTTCAATATTGAAGTGAAGGAGGCCCTGGTTCCCAGGCAGCAGCGCTGATCTGACCCAGGTGGGGAAGAGGCTCCCCTGGCAGCAGCCAGGGCGCAGAACATAGAGTTGATGTTGGCTTTAAGCRGGTGGATGGCTTTATTTTGGCTGGTGAAGGACAATAATGATTTGATACGGCCTAATGTTAGAATGGCAGGGAGTGATAACACCTCATTTGTTGTACAGACTGCGCGTGCAAAATTACTCAGCTAAATTTTTTTTGGTAAATTAGACCTAGAAAAGTTTGTTCATTGGTTTGTATCATGTGACCTTTTTTTTGGTCATTTTTTTGTTACATATGGCATTATGATTCAGTAATGAAAGACCTACGCAAGAATTTATCATATGCCAAGCAACAAACCAGAAATTAAAGCTTCTGGGCTACTGTTTCCATGAGAAAATATCCTGCTAATACTTGAAATCTGAATTTATAAACATAGGATTTGAACCAGGGTATTGACTCGCGCAGGTTAAAACACTTGGTTTAAGAACAGAAACGTATCCCAATTATGTCAGTATAAAACTAACAAACACAGCCAGCACTTGAATAGTCATTTGGAACTGCCCATACTAAACCTATAGAACAAAACTCCAGTGCTGAATAATTTTTAGATAATTATCAGTCACATAAGGGGCAAATTTAGTGCAAGAAAATACTTTAGGGTTGAAAGTATCACAGCCCAGTAAAATTTTGCTCCCTGCTCTTTGCAAAATCGGGCAAGACTCAGTCAACTTAATTTGATAGCCCAGTGGTCCCTCTCCTAGTTATTCTGTATCTGTGAACCAGTCAGGGTTTCTGATCTCTCCAATATCCTTCAAGATCCTCTTTCCTACAGAGTAGATATTTGAATGATTTTAAAAGTACTTGCAAGTTCACTGTATCTCATGTAGAGTTTTGTGCTGTTGGCCAAAGCAGGAGCTTCCCTCAGTCAGGATGGCAGCCTGTTCTTGATGGTCATCAAGAACATGCCATCCTAGATCACCTTCTTGACCACCTTCTGGAACTGGAGCAGATCGAGGTATTTCTGAACAGTGGCAAGAAGCACCTAAAATCAGTCTTGGTTGGCTGACTTCTAGCCTTTTCCAAACGGATAGTTAAATATGCGCCGGAGGGTTTTTTCCATCCCTTTGTGCTAAACTTGCTATGAGTTTTGAACATTACAAGATTGGTTTCCCCCATGGGATCTCAATGTTCTTGAAGCTCTCACCGTCATGCTTTAACCTGAGATTTAGACCTGAGGCGTTTTATTCTCTGACTCATCTGTCTCTAATGTGTAAAATGTTGATCTTCGTGCAGGAGCGGTGCTGATGCTGCTCCTCACCCTCCTGTCCCTGCAATCAGAAGGCTGGATGAGATGCGTCCGAGAGCTGGACCCAGCTAAGCTGCCTTGACTGCTTTGCTAAAGTCAACCGTTTGGGTCTATGGTGGCAACTTCTGTTAGATGAGAAGCAAGTAACAGGACCTGGATACTTGAGACTTAACCCTGCTTAATTTGACTATAAAACAACCCCATAATTACAAGTTCAGAGATAAGGCACATTAAGATGCTGTATGTGTTCACACTCATGGCACATATAATGAGCAATAAGTATTAATACATACGTTGTTTTGTGGCAAAGTGTCATAAAGGGTGGTTTAATCATCAGCCCCTGGTATAAAGTGCCTATTGGCCTTATTTTATAAAACCTTGGGGAGATGGGGATTATTGATGTATAGCAGATGTTTGTGCTTTGTTAATGTTACGGTTTGTCCTGGGTGAGGAAGCATCCGTGTGTCAAATTAGTATTGATTTCAGTGAAACATTTAGTGCTTATTAATCCTGAACATGAGGGTGTAGCGGTTGACTTGTGCTTAATACTGGATCTCTTAGCTTGTCTTTACTTCAGTAAAACCTTTTGGCACCATTGCAGCTTTTTAGTCCCTAATAATAAAGGGAACAACGGCAAGTACCAAAGGAAACACAGGCTATTCTTAAACTCATAAATACAGATAAGAAATTTCAGTCCGTTGCAGTCTTGACAGGCCGGCTGTCAGCAGCAAGTTTGTATTTTAGTTATTTCTTTGTTCCTATTTTTCAAATCAGATATAATTTGGGGAAGAAAAAAAAGTAAAAACTAATACTAGAACTAAAATGAATCCAGGAAAAGGAAAAGCACAAAAGGAAAGCTGGAACTGTCAGCAGTTGATCAGTTGCCAATTCTGTCTCTCCAGAGTTTCCACGTGGTGTGCACAACTGTACAGATGTCAAACGGTGAAGATTGATGCCAGTGCAGTAACAACTCTGCTTCAGGTAAAACGTGAAGGTGTGGTAGTGCAGGAGAGAAGGTAAGATGTGTGCTTGCAAAGCGTTCCACTTCTGGCCTTGCACGAAACACTGCATGGAATTCCAATGGAATTCCAATGGAATTCCAAAAGCTGCCGAGAGCTGTGCACGTGTGCAGGATCACAAAGATACTCGCACCTTTTATTAACAAGGTCACCCTGTTGCAAAAAGTACAAATGCCATCTTGGGATATATAAATAGTGTAATCTGCTAAACAGGAAGAGTAGCTGCCAGACAGTTACAGACAAGATTCATCTTTGCAAAAGCAGATGCTTAAATTTGAGCTTGTCACCTGGATTCCCTCTGTACTCAGTGTAGACAAGCAGGGACTTCTGGGTCTCATTGGCTTCTTTCTAGGATACGTGTTGAATTAGGCATTCTAAATCAGAAAAAAAAGTATTCCCTCACTTAATAAAAGGGAGATTATTAAGATGTTTGGTGACTTCTCAATTGTAAATAAATGGAAATGTTTGCTACCCTTTTATTAGAGGATTAATTCCGTCAGCTCAGTTAACTGTTGTGATGAAGATGAGGGAGGCTGCAAGGGCAGAATAAACAACACCCATGGGAAGCTGTCTTCTTGTGGAACATCTGCTTAGGGAAGACACAAAGAGAGAAGTAACTTTTTATTTGGTCCTGGGCAGAGTACTGGACCTGACTTAATACTCTCTGAAACAGTGACCCTAACATACTTAAAAGAGTTTAAAGAGTCACCATCCTGAGCAGAATAACAAATCCAAAGAAGTCCTCTTTTGTTTTTAATTTCAGAAAGGGAAACTCAGTAAAAGTAAGAAACATCTTTGGGAGAGAAAAAAAAAGCTGAAAGGAGCAGCTAGAAGAGTAAAATAAACTTTTGTGCAGCATGGAGACTACAGAAAGAAATCACCGGAAACTCTGACCAAATCCATACCACCTGGGGAAAGCTGCTTAGGGAGATGAAAAAAAATTAGCATGGCGAAAAGGTAGGACGTGAGAGGATATCTGAAGCAAGAACTTTTGTGCTAGTGAGGAAAACATTAAAAATAAGTGACATATAAAAATACAGTTTTGATAGGTTAAAAAAAAACCAGAGTTAGACACAACTTGCAAACGGCTGAAAAAAGTGTGGTCATTTTTCAGATTGATCAAGACCAGGAAGTCTGAGAGAGAAAAAAAAAAAAAAGTAATACCAACGCATTAAAAGAGGATGTAGAAAAGACACCACCAGGGTAGAAAACTAAAATGATTTCTTTTTGCATCTGTGTTTATTGTGGAGGAGGCTGGGGAAGTTCCCAGATAGCAGCAGACGCATCTGAGCATCCGTCTCGCACTGAAGCATTGGTAGGGTCAGAATAAGTCGACAAAATGCATAATAACGAAGTAACCATTGCCAGATGGTCTCCACCACACTAACAGAAGCCTGCAAGCCTTCCTTTAAAACTACTTCCATACAAAGCCTTAGGAGGTGCTAATGTAGCACCATTTAAAAGAAAATAGAGTTCCTAGGGACATTCAGAAACTGAAAGGATTGTGACTAAGAAAACACCCCTAAGTTTTACAAACCGTTTTACTTTCTGTACTTTTGTCACAAATCTTTCAGGAGCCGTTTGAAGATGCCCAGAAAACAAGGGAGTGCTGCAGCAGTGAGGGGAGATCAAGCTGGTGAATGGACCCTTTCACTGACCGTGCCCCGCAGCCGTTAAGGTACTGGCTTTTCCCGTGTGTGTCAAAATCTATCTGAAGACAGAAGCGTGGCGGGCAGCGCAGCCCTGTGCTCTGCTCGGACAGGTTGCTGAGCTGGGGAGCCCAGGGGAGCAGGAGACTTCCAGGTCATGTTCCAGAGCCCAAGGGAAAGGGAGGGGAAGCTCTAAGCATGGAGCTCTGGACTGCCACCCTGCTGCTGGAGGGAAGTGGCATGAGGAACTGGGAGGCACAAGGAAAAGAAGCAGGGAGAGCCCCGGGGAAGGCTYCTGTATCCAACCGCTGGGATCTCTGCTGTGCTGTTGCACGGTGCACACTGGCCAGCTGTACAAACGGCAGCCGCGCTGGATAAACACCTGGAAACTGCGCTGGTTCCCTGTGTTCTGGCTGCAGTTACCGGGTGTTGGATGAACAGGTAATTCTGGCAGGCACATAAACTGGTGCAGCCCCACCAGGCACTGCAGAGATGTGGCTGGCGCTAAAATGCATCATCTCTTAGACTAGTTGGCACCTGAATTTGGACATGTTATTTGTGCTGTGTATAAGGTGTAGCCTGCCAGAAATATTTGAAAGGGCTGTCCAGCCTTTGCCTTGGCTCGGATTTGGCACACCTGCCCACAGCAATTACAGCTATGTCTAACTTAGCAAGTAGTGAAGTGCAATAGGAGGAAATCTCTAAAGTGAAACAGCTGGTCGTGAGGAGCAGCTGTTCCCACCACATACATGCAGCAGCTGCTGYGGAGCAGTATGTAGGTACCTGGAGCCACCCTCCAGTTTAGCCACAGCCAAAGGGAATCAAATGAGCCCACGTCCACAACACAAACGATTCGAGGCCCAGTAAGTGGATGCGATTGGGAGATTTCACTTTGGAAGCATGCTGTCGGTCCAGACTGAAACAGCCTGGAGTGCCAGAACCGAGATATTTCAGGGGGCTTTGACTGTGCAAATGCTGAACTATCAGAATAATCACCTAAAAAAAATAAATCGCCCATTATCCCTGTATTCATGACAAAAATCAAATTATAGAGTCAGGGATTATAGTCTGCATATTCTTTGCACAGGCACCTCCTCAGACATCTCTGCATCCCCTYGTCCTCCAAGGAAATTTCAGTCTTGAGAATGCATTGATAAAAACAAGAAGAAATGTTAGATGCCCTTGTAACTTGCAGTTTGCTGTGTCCATTCGTATAAGAGGACTGGCTCTCCATCCACCAGTCCTTTCCGAGGCTCGGAGGATMTCCTTGAGTTAGGAATCTGGCCCCAATTCAAGGTGCGTGGGCGAGGATGCGGCCGCTGCGGCGCGGCGAGGGCTGCGGGGCRGCCRTGGGGCCGGGGCAGGGCCTCCAGCAGAGGGCTCCCGCCAGTTAGTTGAGTGTTGCTCCCTTCTCGGCTGCTTAGACTCAGCTTTGGATAAACCGCTTTTGGTCGGATGTGAACATGCCTCAGAGCAGCTCTAGAACCCCTAGTTGTGTTCGACATTCCCAGGATCCCGGCTGTGTAACATCAAGTTGGTCTTTTTGCAGTTGAGTCTCTGAAGTAACAGCATCCCCCCCAAAACTATTTACATTTGTTGGGATCTGTACACGGTTTAGGAATGTCTTAAAACTAATCTCTTGAAAATTAATTTAAACATACATCTCTGCCCACCAAATGAGAGTTATGTGGGTCTTAGTCATCTTGCATTCACAGCGGATCAAAACAATTTCCATGCACTGAGTTTGGAACTGGCACATTTCGTCAGGAAACCAGAATTGTCACAAAAGCTATAAAAAGCTGCTTCGACTGCTTTGTTTACAGAAAAAGTATTTTCAATGTTACTAGATGTGGCCTTGCTTTGATTCTACTGTTCCCTTTAGTATTCTTAAGGACAATGTATAGGGGTGCACTTGGCACAGTAAACATCTTGCACAAAGCAGTACCATCTCGGCTGCAGTACACAAATGGATGTCACTTTGTGTTCTTTCATTCGTTTGATGTCATAGTGATCTACAGTTTTATTTTATGAGGAATTCTAACAAACAGATCTCCATTAATTCCATTGTATAACTAACAGATGAAAAGAAACAAAAATGAATGCAGCGTTGTATGCTGCATGATTTACCTCCTCATGAAACTAACTGTGATGTGTCTTGGATCATTATAGATGAAAACAAGCCAACAGTTTTCCTGTTCTTTCCAAGCAGAGAAGTAGGAGGAGCAGGAGACCTGCTGGACTCCGCAGCCTCTCCCAGGCCTCTCTGGAGCTGCGCAAGGCGTTTCCCCCCGCAGCAGATCAGCGGTGAGTACAGTGGCACACGTGGCAGCAGGACATGTCTCCTGCGGAGCATGGGTCAAGTCAGAAGATGTGTTCCCAGTCACAGTTTGCCGCCTGGCTCCAGTTGTTGGAAATCTAGGTAGTTTGGGAAACGAAGAACAGATTTTGTGTTTCCTTTGAGCATGCTGAGTTAACATTTCCTATCAATCACATATTCCTCTGGACSCATTTCAGGAGCTCAAAGAGATCTAGATCATCTTGTCTAATGAGAAGCAAAATAAGAGAATGAAGTCTGGCACATTTTTATGTTACTTGCCCAATATTTGCCATTGAATTCTGGATTTCTCTCCCTTGTTACGGAGAAGYTGTGGTGCATTTGGTGCACATGTGCTTCCTGACCTTTTGTGCAAGACMGATTTTGCTGTTGATTCGTTTAATATTTTCCATTGCTAGTAGTTTAATTTGCCAATACTTAGAAGCGCCCTTCCTTGTCTCTTTTTTTTTTTCAAAAAAATAGAGAGAAAAAGAGGGAGTAGATCTTTGTAATGACCTACAACATTTTTATCTTAACTCCCAGAATGAGTCCCAYCTGGCCAGCCCATTGGCCTTTCTGCCCATGTGGTGAATAAACAACTGAAATGAGGCAGTGGGGAAATTGGAATTCTTGCTCCCACTGAAGACAGTGGGAATACTGCCACTTAATGTTACTGGTTTGTTATAATATATCAAAAATATAAAGTAAAATTAAACTGTTGAATTTTATGTTACCTAAMCACTGCTTTCCAGTGAAAGAGAGTCATAAAACATATGTAGCCTGACATGATGGCTGGTACAAATGCAAACTGTAACAGCAGATTTTCCTCTTAGCGACGTAATATCAGTTTGCTTGTTTTGTCTGAGGTTTTGGTCTACCTTGGAAAAAATAATTAAACGCTTCACAATTGTTTTATATTGAAAACAAAAATAATAGCAGGGATTTTAGGTGAGCAGCATGGGAACAGGAAACATTATACTGTTCTGCCAATAGAGTAGAAATTTACTGTTATGACTCAAGAAAACCTACTTGTTTCAATAATACCCAATTCATTTATTGCTCTCAATAAATCTTCCTTCATGAAGATAAAATACCTTTTAAAGTGCACTTTTGAGACTAATGATTATACCAGGGTTTATAGTAGGCAGAAAAAAAAAAAAAAAAAAAAAGAAAGGGTGCAGCTCAATCCAGTGGAAATCAAGTCTGGAGAGCTGAAATGCAGTACAAGGAGGAGAGGAGGGTAGGCTGGGAAGCCGACACTCAGCCAGCTTTATGCCTGTGTCCCCTTCAGGGCTGCCCACTTCTCTACTGGCTCCACTCCCTTCTCTCACCTACTCTGAGTTGTCTATGCCATGGAAAACACCTTATTTCCCTGCTTTGTTCATGGAAGCTATTGGGACTGCTGGAAAAGGCCCAAAGGAAAACTGAAAGCCATAATGTACTGCAGTTTAACTGCATGCTGTTTTATCATTTGTATTAATTAAGGCTTCTGGATGAGGCCTCAAAGAATTGTTAGCTGTTATAGTAACATTTTATTTAGAGAAATTTTTATTTAACACCTGTCCTTCTATCTTCTATCTGTAAAAATATACTCTATAAAAATTTACTCCAAGTATTATTTTATATATTATACATTATTATACCAACTTCATAGAAAATAATTACCATTATAGACCTAGCAAGATGAAATTTCATTCATCTACAAGTCAAGAAGAAACAAAAATGTTGGTTCTGCTCTTCGCAAAAATATTAGAGGGAAGTCATTTCTGAAATGATTTTTTAAAAAC